TTAGTATAGGACCTAGTCAATTAGTTGGATGTTAGTACAGGACCTAGTCAATTAGTTGGATGTTAGTACAGGACCTAGTCAATTAGTTGGATGTTAGTACAGGACCTAGTCAATTAGTTGGATGTTAGTACAGGACCTAGTCAATTAGTTGGATGTTAGTACAGGACCTAGTCAATTAGTTGGATGTTAGTACAGGACCTAGTCAATTAGTTGGATGTTAGTACAGGACCTAGTCAATTAGTTGGATGTTAGTACAGGACCTAGTCAATTAGTTGGATGTTAGTACAGGACCTAGTCATTTAGTTGGATGTTAGTACAGGACCTAGTCAATTAGTTGGATGTTAGTACAGGACCTAGTCAATTAGTTGGATGTTAGTACAGGACCTAGTCAATTAGTTGGATGTTAGTACAGGACCTAGTCAATTAGTTGGATGTTAGTACAGGACCTGGTCAATTCTGTCTTTCATTGTGCTCTTCATGCATTACTACATCTTTCTTTCGATCGCCATGAACCGTTTGGAAGGTTTCTATTTTTTATATTCCCTTTAAAGAGTACCCTACAATAGGCACACGGTGGCACACGACATTCAAAATTAAACCGAGCCTGGGACCGTACCCGGCTCCCCAGCGGTAGTCTAATACCTGTCTAATACCTGTCGAATACCTGTATCTTCCGAGATAAAATTCTCTTAAAATATTGCGTCATACTTTCTTCTGAGACAGCAATATTGCGCTGGTTAACTAATAAAGTAAAATGTAGCATTATGAAATTTGGGTATTCCGTTTGATGAACGCTACTTACATCACGTTTAAGATGCCTGTGTTAATCAACGTGGTCAGCATAGAGGTATTTAATATGTCATAATTCATAACTAGTATAACTTTACTAGCACTAAGACATCATATTTCTTCTTTGAGCAATCGAATTAGTATAGACCCAACTGTCAATAATTGCTGTACGTGATTGTAAGTATGGAGTCACGTTACGTATCTCAGTAAACACACCTGTCATAACTGCTCTAATGTTCTCGGTTGACAACCAACCCACCTGTCATATTAGCTCTAATGTTCTCGGTTGACAACCAACCTACCTGTCATATTAGCTCTCTCCGTTGTCAGTCATCACACCTGTCATATTAGCTCTAATGCTTTCCGTTGACAACCAACACACCTGTCATATTAGCTCTAATGCTTTCCGTTGACAGTCAACACACCTGCCATATTAGCTCTCTCCGTTGTCAGTCAACACACCTGTCATATTAGCTCTAATGCTTTCCGTTGACAGTCAACCCACCTGTCATATTAGCTCTCTCCGTTGACAGTCAACCCACCTGTCATATTAGCTATCTCTGTTGACAGTCAACACACCTGTCATATTAGCTCTCTCCGTTGACAGTCAACACACCTGTCATATTAGCTATAATGCTCTCCTTTCTATGTTAGATACACACGTAAACAAAGCAACAGAAAAACACGTAGATATTGTGAACTAAATACAAGTTTTTAAAACAAGCTGATGCTTTATTTTTACTTACTCGTAAACAAACTATATAGGAAGTAATCATGCATAAAAAATCAAAACATATTTTGACATTTTTCCTCGTTTAACACCTCTCTACTATATTACAGAGTGCAGAGGCCTAATAGTAATCTTGCAAACATCTAAAACAAAATTTTCGTTATTCTATTTCCGAGGGAATTCGATAACTTGAGTAGTGTTTCAGTTAGCTTGACAAAATTTCATTTATAACTACACGTTTATATCTGGATTACTTTCAATATAAGAGTGTCCTCCGATATCCGTTAGTGGTATTTTACAATATTTCTGGTTTCTAGAACGCCGATAACGTGAATTCAGTTTCATACATCACTTTATTCGCTCATTTCTTCCAACGTTTTTGTAATTTTCCCAGTACTTCACGCAGTGGCAGAACTAGAAAAAAAGTGCCACCCCGCAAAAAAATTTTGGGCGCCCCCTATATATATATATATATATATTATATATATATATATATATATATATATATATATATATATATATATATATATATATATATATATATATATATATATATACTCATTTCTAGCCTGATCGGGCTTTGAAATAATCTTTTTTTCAATTTAAACAAATTACAACATGTCATGTGTGTGAGTGCATTAGTCTGTATTGAATTTTTTTTTATGATTTAGAATTTTTTTTTTCCGCCTCATACATGTAATTTACAGCGTCAGTTGTGTGTTCGCTTTAGTATTACAGTTTTCATCATCGGCTTGTGAGGACTGATACAGATTACAAAAGTAATATTTCTTTCTTACTTGTAGCCTACTTTCCATCATTTAGATGGTTTACTGATACATAGATCTAATAAAAAAAACCTGAAAATGCAAATGTGTAATTAAATGATGATTCAAGGGATTTTTTTTCTTTCCTCTGCGTGGTGGGCTGAGGGGGGGGGGGGGAATTTGGGATTTTAAGTAGAGCTGAAATAAATTTGGGATTACAGAGAATTAAAATGATACAACTTTTAAGCAATCGGAAAAGTTATGTTATTACAATCAGACACATCAAAACAAACATTCTTCCCTTTCAAACATCTATATCTATACAGTCCTCAAACAGTTTTTTTTTTATTTTTTAAATTTTTTATTAATTCAATTGTTTTAAACATTTGAATCAGTAATAATAATTTATTTGATAATTTTGCACAGCATCAAAGACATGAACATCAATTGCAGACATAATAATCAAAGGGAGAATGTGTGTAATGGTTTCTCGTGTTATGTTTATTTTTTTTATTTTTTTGTATTTATATTATTTGTTTCAAATATATTTCCTTTTTATGCTATGTCATTCTTTAGTTTGCATTTCTTAAAAAATAATAGTTAAGAGCAGTTATTGCTTTTTAATTTGTTTAGTACAAATATTTTAAAAGGAGCATTTAAAAAAGGGAAATAAGTCATGGAAGTGTTTTGAACGTTTGTCTATCTTTCACACTACAGCTCAAGCATATATATTTTTTTTACGCAACAGCGTGTGTTAGCTACTGTATAACATCACTACTGTACTACTGTAGTAGATCTGTTTGTTATTTACAAAAGCTTTTACCGCCAAGTCAAAAATGCAAGAAATTTTTTTTAACTGTAAAAAATTTATTATGGTCGGGTATGGGCCCCTAAATGGCGTGCCCCCCTCCCCCCCCCTCCTTCCCCCCCCCCCCCCCCGCATTGCGGGGCCTGGCGGCACTGTAGTTCCGCCCCTGACTTCACGATATTTCTGATATTTCTAAAAACATTTATTTTGATTCACTTGTCTATCCCACGTAATAGGCGGTAAATTTCGACGTACCGATTTCTTTCAAACTTTTCACGTAGGTCAAGAAACGGCAAGATGACAATATATTATGACAGTGTGATTTTTCTTGACAAGGTACTAATTCTCGCTCTATTTGTGTTCATTTGATGCGCAAATCTTTTTTATTCGCGGTTCAACCATATTTAAAAATAAACATAGTTATTTAAACAAAATTATATTTAAAAAAAACCATTTCCATAACACGATGGCACGGCAAATGCCATTCTCCTTAATGTTATATAAGAATATACGCAAAAATTTAGGGGAGAACATTACCGCTTTATTTTTTGCCTAGGTTAATTCTCAAGGAAATTTTTGTTTGTCTTAAAAGGACCATTGAAATCCTTTGATCTATCTATATATATAATTCTCTTCATGTGGACCATGCGAGACACCACCACGTAAACGCACGCCGTTACTCCTTCCCCGCTCTCTAGGCATATCGCTACCACCCTCACCCCCACCCCCACCAGTCTGATGAGCTATGGGTCACGACAAATGTTTACAATAGTAGAGACGGGTCGGATTAGTGACGGCTATTAGGGGCAGATAATTTAGTATTTAAACGATTTGAAAGTATGGGGAGGTAACAATTTTCTGCTTGATATTTTAATTGTCGTCTGTAAACTGTCGTCACGGACGGCTGCTTTTACGGGCCGTGGGGAGGCGGGGGGTAGTGTCGAATTAACAAATTGTGAATTACTGAAAAGTAAAAAATAAAACAATTAAATAGCAGCGTATGCTATGCTGCGGGTTGGCTCGTTAATTATATTTACAGACAGACAGAAGAACTTAGTAAATTATTATATTAGCTACATTACGCTGGTTTCTCAAAATGTTCACCCCCATCCTATCCCACCCCTCTTCTAAATCACAAACCAATTATTTATTAAGATATCAGTGTTCTAGGCTACTTAATATAATTATAATAATATACATATACGTTTATTTTCACAGATCTCTACCACTGGGTGGAGTACAGGATCTTGTCTGAAATTTACGGAAATGGTTAGGAAAAACTGGTTAGAATTCATCAGCAATCTTTCAACTCATTATAATTTTCCAACCGCATTTTGAAACCAGGATAAATTGTTCCACGAAACTTCAATCAACTCCCTAGATAATCATCGCTAACTGAACCATGATCCCTTCCTTAGCTACAACATCGATGGTCTCTTCCTAAACTTGTCTGAAGCATCCACTTAACTACAACATCGATGGTCTCTTCCTAAACTTGTCTGAAGCATCCACTTAACTACAACATCGATGGTCTCTTCCTAAACTTGTCTGAAGCATCCACTTAACTACAACATCGATGGTCTCTTCCTAAACTTGTCTGAAGCATCCACTTAGTTACAACATCGATAGTTGTACAACTTCTAAACTTGTACGAAGCATCCACTTAGCTCCAACATCGATGGTTGTACAACTCCTAAACTTGTACAAAGCATCCACTTAGATACAACATCGATGGTTGTACAACTCCTAAACTTGTACGAAGCATCCACTTAGCTACAACATCGATGGTTGTACAACTCCTAAACTTGTACGAAGCATCCACTTAGCTACAACATCGATGGTTGTACAACTCCTAAACTTGTACAAAGCATCCACTTAGATACAACATCGATGGTTGTACAACTCCTAAACTTGTACGAAGCATCCACTTAGCTACAACATCGATGGTTGTACAACTCCTAAACTTGTACGAAGCATCCACTTAGCTACAACATCGATGGTTGTACAACTCCTAAACTCTCCTCCCTCTATAAGCCAAGCAGGAGCTGAAGGTACGCCGACCTTGTGGAGGGGTCGCTGCTCTGGCGTGTCGAGACTACCATGGACTGTTGTAGCAAACGCCGGCTACTGACCGTCATGACCAGCGTCTGTGCATGTGCCGCCTTTGGTCTGCTCAGCATATCTGTGGCAACGGATTACTGGCTGTTTACCAAAGAAAGATTCCAACAAAATAAATCAATACCCGCCTTTTATCGGAGTGTTTATTCGGGGCTTTGGAGGCGCTGTAAATATGGTCAGTATCAAGTCTTATAAAATGGATTTAAACTAGGTTATATACACTATATATATATATATATATATATATATATATATATATATATATATATATATATATATATGTATACATATATAATAAATAAGTATATATAAGTATATATATATGTATATATATATATATATATATATATATATATATATATATATATATATATATGTATATATAAATATGTATGTAAATATATGTATGTTTATATATATATATATATATATATATATATATATATATATATATATATATATATATATATATATATATATGTATATATAAATATGTATGTAAATATATGTATGTTTATATATATATATATATATATATATATATATATATATATATGTATGTATATATATATATATATATATATATATATATATATATATATATATATATATGTATACATATATAATAAATAAGTATAGGTAGAGCTGCTAACAAATTGTGACTCACAAAATTACTTCCTGGAGTGAAAAAAGCTCTTATTCACATTGCGCGTTGTTTACTTTTATAGTACTGATGTCCCAAATCAAAGGAAACTTTTAACCACCCTGCTAATTTATGAACCAATGTCTAGAACTTATGTACCATAACTTCTTTATGAGCCGCATCGATAGAGCATCTATATCTATACAAGAGAGTGTGTACGTGTAGCTTATATCTATACTAGAGGGTATGTACGTGTAGCTTATACTAGAGGGTGTGTACGTGTAGCTTATACTAGAGGGTGTGTACGTGTAACTTATCCTAGAGCGTTTTAATGTGAAATAAACTTCTGATTAAAAAATTGGTTTTCTAGTAAAAAAAAATAAGAAGAAGAAATATGCATACATTTAAGTTTACCATAATTTGTAAGGAAAAGAAATTCAATTTAGGGGGGGGGGATAAGGGGCTAAAAATCTGGGTCCTCTTGTTGCTGCCCTCTCAACCCCTCCCCCATCTTGATCCATAACAGTTAACAGATATGTAATATAGTAAACAACAAATGTGTCTGGTGCAAAATTCAGCTATCATAAATTGTATATAGCTATTAAGAGAAGGTTAGAAAACAAAAGACACTTTGACCTTAAAGCAGTTGTTGCTGATATCACTGTTGTCAGCTGTTGGTACCTATGGCGGATAATGGCTCGATTTAAAATCAACCAGACATGCGCGCTGACCAATGTACAACTGATCTAAAAGAAAGCTGATCGTCGTATCTCTGAGCTCTCTTTACTTATTAGCGGTTGTATTTGCTGAGAGCCACCAGTCACGTGATGTGGACCAACCAATGTAATTTCCCCGGACGACCCTTGGCCCTGCTCTTGGATCACTTTGGTCCTACTCTTGGATCACTTTCTAATTCGATTTTTTCTTCTGTACATTCCCATTGGAATTCTTCAATACATTCCCATTGGAATTCTGAAATTTCTTAGCGAATTCCTAGTGTCAGATTGGGCACACACAAGGCATGCTTTGTTTTATAACCAGGTACAGCTAATGTCAGACATACATAAGGCATACTTTGTTTTATAATCAGATATCAATTAATTAATTAAAATGCTTGATCAATGCCCTCATTAAGTATTCCTATGGCAAGATTTATTACTGCTCTCTAAGTTTTACATTCTTCCATTAGCTTACCGCAGGTAAAGATTTATTTTGCTTTCATGTATTTACCCCAGAAAAAGATATTTATTTCCATAACAATGAGCTAGAATCAAATAATTATTGCCAGATGGCCATGATATATTGTTTGACGTAAGTGCTAGAAGGTTAGTGATAGTATTATTCAAAACTTTCAACCTGCAATTTTCTCTAAAACATTCGAAACTTGACCAACTCAAAAATTATGGGAAATAATTCTAATGCGCTTTGGTGAATCTACCCATAGAGTGACATACATATAAAGTGTTTTCGTAAAGCAAAAATAATAGACTGCATGCCGTTATCCGTAAACTGCTGATGGCGCTACAAACACGTAGACATGTCCTTGTAGCTGATGATGCTACACTCACCTCAAACATGTAGACAGGACCTTGTTGCTGATGATGCTACACTCACCTCAAACATGTAGACAGGACCTTGTAGCTGATGATGCTACACTCACCTCAAACATGTAGACAGGACCTTGTTGCTGATGATGCTACACTCACCTCAAACATGTAGACAGGACCTTGTTGCTGATGATGCTACACTCACCTCAAACATGTAGACAGGACCTTGTTGCTGATGATGCTACACTCACCTCAAACATGTAGACAGGACCTTGTTGCTGATGATGCTACACTCACCTCAAACATGTAGACAGGACCTTGTAGTCGATGATGCTACACTCAAACATGTAGACAGGACCTTGTATCTGATGATGCTACACTCAAACACGTAGACAGGACCTTGTTGCTGATGATGCTACACTCACCTCAAACATATAGACAGGACCTAGTAGCTGATGATGCTACACTCAAAAATGTAGACAGAACCTTGTAGCTGATGATGCTACACTCACCTCAAACATGTAGACAGGACGTTGTAGCTGATGATGCTACACTCAAACATGTAGACAGGACCTTGTTGCTGATGATGCTACACTCACCTCAAACATGAAGACAGGACCTAGTAGCTGATGATGCTACACTCACCTCAAACATGAAGACAGGACCTAGTAGCTGATGATGCTACCCTCACCTCAAACATGTAGACAGGACGTTGTAGCTGATGATGCTACACTCAAACATGTAGACATGACCTAGTAGCTGATGATGCTACCCTCACCTCAAACACGTAGACAGGACGTTGTAGCTGATGATGCTACACTCAAACATGTAGACAGGACCTTGTAGCTGATGATGCTACACTCAAACATGTAGACAGGACCTTGTATCTGATGATGCTACACTCAAACACGTAGACAGGACCTAGTAGCTGATGATGCTACACTCACCTCAAACATGTAGACAGGACCTTGTTGCTGATGATGCTACACTCAAACACGTAGACAGGACGTTGTAGCTGATGATGCTACACTAACCTCAAACATGTAGACAGGACCTTGTTGCTGATGATGCTACACTCAAACACGTAGACAGGACCTAGTAGCTGATGATGCAACACTCAAACACGTAGACAGGACCTTGTTGCTGATGATGCTACACTCACCTCAAACACGTAGACAGGACCTTGTTGCTGATGATGCTACACTCACCTCAAACACGTAGACATGACCTTGTTGCTGATGATGCCACACTCAAACACGTAGACAGGACGTTGTAGCTGATGATGCTACCCTCACCTCAAACATGCAGACAGGACGTTGTAGCTGATGATGCTACACTCAAACATGCAGACAGGACCTTGTTGCTGATGATGCTACACTCAAACATGTAGACAGGACCTAGTAGCTGATGGTGCTACCCTCACCTCAAACATGTAGACAGGACGTTGTAGCTGATGATGCTACCCTCACCTCAAACATGTAGACAGGACCTTGTTGCTGATGATGCTACACTCAAACATGTAGACAGGACCTTGTTGCTGATGATGCTACACTCACCTCAAACATGTAGACATGACCTTGTATCTGATGATGCTATACTCACCTCAAACATGTAGACAGGACCTTGTAGCTGATGATGCTACACTCACCTCAAACATGTAGACATGACCTAGTAGCTGATGACGCTACAAACAGGTAGACAGGACCTTGTTGCTGATGATGCTACACTCAAACACGTGGACAGGACGTTGTAGCTGATGATGCTACACTCAAACACGTAGACATGACCTAGTAGCTGATGATGCTACACTGAAACACGTAGACAGGACCTAGTAGCTGATGATGCTACACTCAAACACGTAGACAGGACCTAGTAGCTGATGATGCTAAACACAAACATGTAGACAGGACCTTGTTGCTGATGATGTTACACTCACCTCAAACATGTAGACAGGACCTAGTAGCTGATGATGCTACACTCACCTCAAACATACAGACAAGACTTTGTAGCTGATGATGCTACCCTCACCTCAAACATGCAGACAGGACGTTGTAGCTGATGATGCTACACTCAAACATGCAGACAGGACCTTGTTGCTGATGATGCTACACTCAAACATGTAGACAGGACCTAGTAGCTGATGGTGCTACCCTCACCTCAAACATGTAGACAGGACGTTGTAGCTGATGATGCTACACTCACCTCAAACATGTAGACATGACCTAGTAGCTGATGACGCTACAAACAGGTAGACAGGACCTTGTTGCTGATGATGCTACACTCAAACACGTGGACAGGACGTTGTAGCTGATGATGCTACACTCAAACACGTAGACATGACCTAGTAGCTGATGATGCTACACTGAAACACGTAGACAGGACCTAGTAGCTGATGATGCTACACTCAAACACGTAGACAGGACCTAGTAGCTGATGATGCTAAACTCAAACATGTAGACAGGACCTTGTTGCTGATGATGTTACACTCACCTCAAACATGTAGACAGGACCTAGTAGCTGATGATGCTACACTCACCTCAAACATACAGACAAGACTTTGTAGCTGATGATGCTACACTCACCTTAAACATGTAGACAGGACCTTGTTGCTGATGATGCTACACTCAAACACGTAGACAGGACGTTGTAGCTGATGATGCTACACTCACCTCAAACACGTAGACAGGACGTTGTAGCTGATGATGCTACACTCACCTCAAACATGTAGACAGGACCTTGTTGCTGATGATGCTACACTCACCTCAAACACGTAGACAGGACGTTGTAGCTGATGATGCTACACTCACCTCAAACATGTAGACAGGACCTTGTTGCTGATGATGCTACACTCAAACACGTAGACAGGACGTTGTAGCTGATGATGCTACACTAACCTCAAACATGTAGACAGGACCTTGTTGCTGATGATGCTACACTCAAACACGTAGACAGGACCTAGTAGCTGATGATGCAACACTCAAACAC